TTTGGAAATCTCATGTGTAATGTAATGAAAGGTTTTGGGTCACTTTACAGCTTTTGTTAATATGTCCAAGTAGTTTCCCGCACTGTTGAGTAAATAGTAGGGATTTATGGGTAGCAAACACACTGTGATTAAAATGCAGCTGTTGCTGCAACTACTGAATGCAGCCAATTTTGTGCTGTTTGTATGGATTTAATGATACAGTGATCATTTTCAATTGATCCTTCCTTTCTCACTGAAATTGTTAACAAAATGTAATTTTTTCTGTCTTTGTCTGTTTATTTTTCTCTGCTTGTACTCTGCTTGTATTATTTATGACAAAGCTAATTTTATGGTTGGCAGTTGGACTAGTGAAGTCATCTAGAGCCCCTGATGGATTAGGAACATGTAGAATATACATGACTAAAATACTGACTGGGAATCAGTCCTGGGTCGAATAATAAGTGCAAATAATTGCTTGATGTAATTTAAAGGTCCAGTGTGCAGATTTAGTGGCACTAGTTGGGATGTAGCTGCGATGCAAACTCTGTCGCTTTCCCCATTCCCCTTTCCACAGTGGTGGAAGCAGAGGACTACGGTAGCCCTGAAACATGCAAAAAACACAAACACCCCTATCTAGAGCCAGTGTTTGGTTCTGGGCTACTGAAGGCGACCCGCGGTATCTGTAGATAAAAACAGCTCATTATAAGGTAACAAAAACACAAACAGGTTCACAACATTCTTTATACACTAATAAAAACATACCTATTAATATTGTTTTCCATTTCCAATTTGATCCTCTGAAATGTTACACACTGGACCTTTAAGTCTGATTTGAGTTCAGAAATAACAAAGGTTCTCTATGTAAATTATAGCAAACATAAGGAAGTCAGACACACTGCGGGACTGCTGTTTTGTCCCTGACGCACTGGAAACTGCACAGAAATGCACTGATACGTAAAGTTTGAGTGGAGAGGTGGAGAAACTTCTGAACCATGTCGACCTATAAACTCTGAATCACTTGAATTCTCTGAACTTGTGCAGTAAATGTGGATTTTGTTCCTAATTTCATTGTTTTTAAATGAATAATTAACCTTAAACCTTTATTATTTCCTTGGTCTATGTACAGCTTTTTAATCATAAACTGTCTAAGAGGCCCTTTACTGTTGCTTTAGTCAGTCCACACTTCAGCTGTGGGGCGTTCTTTATTTTTAAAAGTAGCCACACTAACAAATCTGCACTTTACATTTTTTGAAGGGGGGGATTTAAACAGAATATTTCTCTTACTGTAAACTATTTGTTGTATAATACTAAGACTGCCATAAAAGCTGAATAAAGAGACTTTTGTTTAGTTGAACAGTTCATAGCATGTGCTTTCAATGTATGCCAGAAGAGAGGAAGAAAAGAAAAACAGATGAAAGCAGAGAGAAAAGAGAGAGAAGTGAGAACTAATTCATCATAGTGTCGAGGCTGTTGAAAATGAGGAGATGACCTCATTTGCCTACAGAGCGACACGGACACATGAGGAAGATGGAGTGGTTTGACTTGTCTGTCATAAAAGATGGCTTCTGTGGGACGTGTGACACTACTATGTCGGTGGGAAAGTTGATGTAGCAGCAAGTAGATCATTAGGTCAAGGATGCTGGCTTTAGGGTACTGAACAGATCATTGATAAGATTCAATAAGCACAGAGCGAACTAATGAGGCCCATCCAACTCCTTAATCTTAATGTCCGAATTATTTTACCAGGTATTTTCCGTTTGTTGCCTGAATACGAGGGCCAGCGCATTTAACCTGAAACAACTCAATCTAAAAAGCAAAGTAGGGAGAGGTACATTTTCTAGGTGAGATTCAAATCTGCCCTTTCCCTGAATAGTTTTAAAAAAAACAACTGAAAGAAATGGATGCAAAGTAAGTAAGCATAGCAAAAGAATTATTTTAGGATGAGTGTCTGAACAGATTATTATTGTCATGATTATTTTCAGGGTTGTATTGTTTTAATGTTTCTATTAGGTGTATTAGTGTAAAAGCCTAGACCTCAGTACCACAATGGAAATAAGTCATGTGACTTAACTGCGACATCCTGATTCATTTTAGTACTGTAAGCCACATCTGTGCTTATTGCTAGTAAGAGACAACATAAACATCTCTGTAAAAATCAACGGGAGGGAGGCGGATCAGTCTACAAAGGCATGCTGTTACTTCAAACAGTCGTTGTTGGCTTGAAAAATATATAACCTGGCTTCAGCTGGTGGAATTTAGTGAAAGGAAAGACAGTTTTGGTAGATTTTCATTACAGATGCAGTTTAAGGAAAACAAGAACGAACAAACAGTCAAAAAAGATTATTTATTTCGTCCAAATCAGGGCTGGAGAACTATCTGACAAAAAATTTAAATAATAAATATGTATTGCAAAAAATAAATGGATGGAAATTGAATTTAAGAGTTTTTACAGCCTATGATTAAAAAAACAAGTGATGGACGTCACTTTCAAACTTTGAAGCACGTACAGCTGACTTAAAGAAGTTACTTTTGAACTCTTGATTAATGAGAATTGTCCCCATGTGACATGAAAGGGAAAGCAAAGAAAGAAAAAAGAAAAAAAAAAGAAAGAAAGAAAGAAAAAAAAAAAAAAAAAAAAAAAAAAAAAAAAAAAAAAAAAAAAAAAAAAAAAAAAAAAAAAAAAAAAAAGAAAAAAAAAAAAAAAAAAAAAAAAAAAAAAAAAAAAAAAAAAAAAAAAAAAAAAAAAAAAAAAAAAAAAAAAAAAAAAAAAAAAAAAAAAAAAAAAAAAAAAAAAAAAAAAAAAAAAAAAAAAACGAAAGAACGACAGTGGGCTGCTGTTTTGGTCGTGGGTGAGTACTAATTTCAATGGGCAACCACAGGCACGGTCTGTGTGCAAAGGAAAACTGGCAGGAAAATCAGGCAGTAAACAGACTGCAAGCAATGGAAATCACCTGTACTGCAAAGATATACGTACAATACCATTTTGCATGTAAGGGTGGAAAATCAGCACCTGCTCATTTGTTTATTTACTGCCATAAAAATAGTTGTGTTTGTGTGTTTTGGGGGTTGAAGGGGCTTTCAGCTGCAGGTAAGCAAAGACTAAAGACTGCAAGAGAGACAAGAGGAGAAAGAAGACATACAAATAGGTAAGGTGGAGTTTGGTGTTCAGCTTTAGCGTTTCACACCTTAATAATACAAACAGAACTATGGATCATTTTGTGCATTTAAAATATAATGGCTTTAAGGAAAAACGGAACCCTCCAAACTTGACCAGAAAAATAACGCAGCAAAAGTCACAGAGAGGTGAATGTATTCTAATTTTAATTTCTAATAGCTTAAATAACTGACTTTCAATTAGACCTGAAGAAGTTCAATGTCTATCAACTTAAAAACATAAAATGTTACTAAAATGACTTACATGGAATTCAGCATATGTAGAATTTTAAAGCCATATACCTGTGTTATTGTACTTGGAAGGATCTGTTCGCCCAAATTACAGCACATATTTCCCCACTTACTTGTAGTTATAGCCATGCAGATGGTTTTAGTTTTAACAGATATCACTGTCCACACCAAAACAACTGAATTAAATTTGTATTGCTTACAGCTATGAGAAATTAGATTCAAAGTATTGAACAGCTACACCTCTTGTTACATAAAACAGTTACACTTATTTTACCTTTGTGGTGCCAAATGAGGCACTGACAGCATCTGGTCAGAGTCTGAAATCAACCTTTTTTGCTTTTATTTCCTTTAATCATCTATGTGTACCTCTATGTGTTCAAGAGCCTAATGCAAGACAGAAAGAAACAATAGTCTGAGTACTTTTTAAGAACATGTGTATCTATGACAAAGGAACTTTTCTCATCTTACATTATACATTATATGAAGTGTCTGACACAGGATAAAGTGAAATGTTCATAATCACTCTCTTTGACTTGACAGGATTTGTTTTGTTATCTGTATCAGAGATCGCCAGCAATCCAGGGTGCTCTCCTGAGATTTTCATCATTATGGCTAAAAGGCCCATTCAGGGGGTCGTAATGGAGTGTCGTGGACGTGGTTTGAGTGACTTCTGGTTTGGCACTGACATTTTAGTCCTGATCATAGGAGTGGTGGCTAACGGTGCCCTGCTTTGGCTATTTCTGAGAGAAAGGAAATCACTGTCTGCCTCACAGGTAGGTACAGTGCTCCCAACACGCTCTGAGGTATTTTTATTTAATTTAACAGTTTTAGCCAGCTGTCTAACTGAGCTTAAAATCTCTGATCTTATCAAGTTCTCAAAAGTTAAGGAAATTTCGGATAGAGAATTTTTCTATAACAAGAACACAATGTGACACCTCAGAACCACTGAGCTGCTCTGTTAGCCTAGTTTCCATCACTTCTTGACATACATTTCCAGTTGACTGGTGTGGAAAGACTAAAAACACAACATACACTGTTAACTGTATTTTTACAGTAATTATGACTGGTAACTGTAGAAACACAATGTATTACTGTGATTTTCATCTATATTAGTGTAAAATAATAACAGTAGGCTACTGTAAATTTACTGCTATTAGCCCATAATTTACTGTAAAAGTACAATAATATTTTACCCTGTGCTGTAAAACTCACTATTCAATACAATTCACGATACTGAGTTTATGATGCAATTTTCTTGCATTTTTTTTTTAACAAAAAGCCAAATTATGACTGAAAAAGATTTCCTCAGACAAATCGACAAAATGTATTTTCTCTTATATTTTCTTTATCAAATAACAAAATAATTTTGTATTTCTGAGGTAGGGTATAAACTTGCAAAAACAATGCATATTTCCTTTAGTGAAGTTAATGTGTTTGCCTTGATACTACAATTGATATCATAAATCATTTTTCATCTCACCAGTTTAAATGTTCACACACAACACTTAATTTTTTTCTTAAACTTTAACCTACTTCAGCTAACCCAGTGTCTAAACCTTAATCTTTCAGGTTCTAGGTGTGAATCTTGTTGCAATGGATCTTGTCTACCTGTCTATAATGCCTTTCAGCATGCTTTTTGAGAATAATAAGCCACACAACAGTTCAGGTAAACACCGCCTGAGACTGTATTTTCTCTGTGTTCTATATGTGTGATTTGGTGTAGATTCTTTTCCTTCTACTTCTTGTTTCTAACTTCTTGTTTAAAATGTGACTTTTGTGTGAAAATGGAAAACAGGCCAGAGTTCCAGCAGGCAGACTCAAAAAGGGTGGAAAGCTATAGAGGATGTAAAATAGACTGGTAGAGTACTAGAACTAAACCGGTACATATATAGGTGGACTGATTGGGGGAAATAAGAAGCAGGTGAGTGAGTGGGTGCGGAAGGTCAGGTGGTAGAAACAGCGGGAAAGGGGTTAGGACAGGAGGGAGTAAACAGAATGAATGTTATGGCTTTGTCCTGTACCCGATTGGCTAAATGCTGTCTACAATGATGAGATAAATGTTTCAGTGTGAATGGCTCAGTTGTGTTTGAATGGTTCTAGACTCACATTTGACTGCAAAAGGCAAGTGCTAACACTGTAACTGTCTATTCACCAGACATTAACTGGGAAATTACCAACAATCCAGAGCCATTGCACTTGGCAAGAGATGTCTTCAGTATGTTCAACCTGATTGGCTGTCCCCTGCTGCTGACTTGTATGTGTATTGAGCGCTACCTGGCGGTGAATAGACCTGTGCTGTACCTGAGAGTGAGGAAGTGGGAGTACAAAATGGCTGTTTCTGCCGTGGTGTGGTGTGTCACCTTTATCTTCTGTCTGGCAATGGGTAAGTGATGGGTGAGTTCAGCTTAGAAAATCTGTCTCCCAGCAACAGCAGCCAACATGGCATCATCAGCCAGGCAACAAAAATACAAATATTAGAGGTAACTACAACAACAACAGACATTAACCACTGAATATTTGGCCTTCAGAAATGCCTGGCCACCAGGTGTTTAATGTTTCCTTCGCGTTAGTTCTCTAAGTGGAATTTAATGTTTTGAAACTGACATTTTGATGTCCTTGTCTTTTACAGGTTTAGTGGACAATAGTAATATCATTATGATCCACGTTTCCATCATCATTTCCAGCCTCTTCTTCCTAATGCTTGCCTGCCTTGTGGGTGTGGTCCGGTCACTGCAGCAGCAAAGCCTTGCCCACACCACATATGGTAACAAAGTCCACTCTAAGTCACCCCTAAAGAGACAGGCGGTCAGTAATGTGTTGGTTGTGGTGGTGCCTGCAGTGATATCTTACGTCCCAGTCCTGATAATTCTTCCCCTGACTGTATACATATATTATGTGAATAGGTCTTTGTTTGATTCCATATGTCCTACTGTTGAAATATTTGTCTCATTCCCTAAGTTTGGTGTGCTCATAGGTCCTTTGTTCTATCTCTCCAAGGCAAGACAAATGTGCTGCCGTAGTAAAACAGGAAATAAATTGAATGAATAGACACATAGTGCACCAATAACTGTAAACAGTCAACGTGTGACTTACTGTTTTATCTTTTTGAAAGCAGTTATATTGTAAACAGTCATTAAATGCACAAATAAAAACACAATCACATTCTCAGATCTCAGTAGTTATTGCTTAATTGTATGTAGTCTTAGGCAAGAGGACTATTTTTGACTAACAATAAAGGATTTATGTTAATAAAGTAATATAATGATATTAATGGTAAAACCAAATAAAGTAAATGCATCATCAGCATAATGTCAAATTTTAGTCTCAAAAACATGTATCTCGACTCCTACTACATTTTATTTATTCCTAATTCCCAATTTTTCTATTGTTAGTACAACTATTAGAAATTTGAGATCGATTACGACACTATATTGTTGGCAATGAATCCACAATTTAAGATCTCAGAGGCACAAGGCAATATTGTAGAACAGCATGCAAGATGACACTATGCTTATGAAGTCATTGAGTTCTTTTACAGATTTGCCTAGCTTTTATCACATGTTCTGATCTTGTTTTGTTGCCTTCATTTTCTGAGTACAAGAGGTATGTAAATGAAGTATGACTCTTCATATTTATTCCTGGATATAACACAGGTGATACCAATATGAATGGGCAGCCAGGTTTCGTAAAACACTTTATTATCTAACGTTCTATAAGTGATCATAACAGTGATTTGTATTTCCTGCATGTTTGACTTGTACTGCATTTTGTAAAGGCCAACAACTGTTGAATAAAATGATTTGTGTTGTGTAATCTTTCCTTTAAAATTTCATAGATTAAACCTTTATTTACAATCTACATCCCCTCTACCTTGTTTGCCCCTATATCTCAGCATTGTTTCAATGAGGAAAGACTTGAAGTATAGTTTGGAAATGAGGAGTTATGTATGAGATTCCTGCCTCTTGTAAAAATAACATCTACTCATGATGATATGACAAAATTTAAATTATGGTACATACAAAATAGAATTCAGACCATTTCTGAAAAAAAAATTTACTTTCAAGGACTTCAACCTCCTTCCTAGTTACAGCAGATACATCAACAACAATTTGCACATACAAATATCAGACATTTTGTCTTTTGATAGCAGGGCATGTTCAATATGCTTAAGTGCCCATTTCAAATGGCACTGATGGCAACATAAAATATTATCCAGTACCAACAGTTTTGTTTTTAAAACCAAAGAGAGCGCATAACGGTTGTTTTACAATTGAACCGTGTCAAGGCAACACAATCACATTATGCTTTCAAGATTAGAGGAACCAGTGATAGAACCAGAGTTTACATGTACTATGAAGGCCTGTCACTGAGTGTAAAAATAAAATCCACCCTCACATACTGTTTATATATGTCTAAAGTACATTCGGGGGTGATAAAATGCAATTTACTTTAGGTGAACTCATTTTTCCTCAGGTTACCAGCCCCAGATGACCAGCCCCAGATGACTAGTTGTTAGGTCATAAGAAAATAAATAGCTTCATATGTGATTATTTCTTGATTGTGGCCGCACTTCTTACTCAGACCTCAACCGGTCACTAATGAAGGTGTTAAAATTTCTTTCTCCACTCCACTGATGAGTTTTCATTTTGCTCTTTGATTTATGTCACCAAAACCTGATGATTACTGTAAATGTTTTAAATCACCAAATCATGTTGTGCCATTAAACTCCATTGTACTCCATTGTATGGATATAGCCAGTTTGTCCTGGTACAAACAACTAAATTGATTCAGAATAGTTGTTTTTTAAAACAATGTTGAGATGCTTCAAAGTGGAGTTTCCTTTTACAAGACTCAGTTGTGGTCATGGGAAATTCAGAAATAGATAAACTGCAACATTACTGTCTCCCTAGCAACATAAATACTGTAGTTAATTTATGTGCAGTGATACTGCAGTTGACAGGAAGGGTAACAAGCAGGGGAATATAAGACACGACACAACAGTATTCAAATCTGTCCAAAAAACATGTTGGCTTGTCCCTTGGAAAATATTCTCCCATCAATAGTGGACCTTCCATATTTTCCCAGGAGTTCAGTGTACAGTAAATTACCTTTGCAGAACTGTCTGGAGTACAGTAAATATGTGATATGTGAACACACACAGTATAGGCATACTAGGGCTCAGTCCTTTAGTGCTCATTCAATAAGAAAACAGACACTTTACAAACTCTATGGAGAAACACTCGATGTAAAGATCCCCTCCACTCAATGAGGTTTTCTCTATGGATACTTTTGGGACTTTTAGTTAAGGGGTGTGGTTTTCACTGAGCAGGCTGCTGTCACATTCCTCCACTTAAGTAGAAGTTAGATTTTTTTAAATGTGAGATGTCTACATATTTAGCATGATTTGTGACATCACAACTGGTAGCCAAATGTGGTCCAATATGCAAAATGAAAAAAAAAAAAAGAAACTGACTTTTCTGTAAAAGCTGCATTGAGTGGTTGAAGTGGTTTCAGCTTCCTTTTTCTTATGGAAAGAAATGGGGTTTATATGTAAGTTTTGCTAAAAAAGTTGAATTATCCTGGGACCAAAAATGTAAACAGGAGTCAATATTCAAGTATTTATTTAAGTAAAAACAGTTCCAAAGTAAAGCTTTCTCCATGTAACCAATTTTCTCTGTAGTTTTTGTTAGCATTAATAGCTAACTAGCTTGTAAAAGTGGACATTGTGCGTTGATGGTGCCGGATGTTGGCCACTTTTTTCATAAATATATTTAATTTAGGTGTAAAAACTTTTGGCCACAATATTTTTTTAATGGTTCAAAGTGAAGTAATTCTTTAATAATCAGTTCGGAACGTGCACACACCCCGCACATATTGTAAGACTCAGCTGGGTTTATGTGTTCTGATCACTGGTTCTGATCATATGATGATTCTACACTAGTGTATTCGAGTTGATCGGACAGTTTAGTTAAAGTTCTACATCATGGTTGTATTGTGCTGACAAAATCAGACATGCTTTCTGAATAATTTCTTAACATAAACACATGTTTTGAATTATCTGGTCTAAATGACAGAGTACATGTGGTTTGTGTGGATGTGCTAAAATCTTCCAAATGGAAAATAACTTGATCCGTTGTGGTGGTGGTGGTGGTGGTGGGGGGGTTGGGGTGTGAGGCCTGATGTATCTCCATATTTGCATACACAATGAGTCTTCTCAATAAATGGGAGAAGGGGTAGATGATCTTTTTAGCCTTCTTCAGAACTTACAGGACACAATCGAAAAAACACGACTCAGCAGAGTTTTTTTGACAGGACTTAAATTGTGTCTGAAAGGGGATCTCAAAAAAAAAGTTTAAAAAAATGGAACAATCAGACCATGTTATGAAAAAGATGTCATCACTGGATACCGAAAGGTTTAGCAAATGTCAAAGGTTTGAGGGGTTTCTCTAGCAGCACTGCACGTGGCAGGAGTCTGATTCTCCTCCAGACCATGGTCACTCATTGGGGGCAAGCAGAGCGAGTAGATGGATCGTTCTGCTGTGGAAAGTCTGGGTTTTAACCCCAGTTGATGATGCTGAAGTGTCACTGAGGAAGACACTGAAAAACCACAGGCTCTGTGAACACTTTAACCTCACTTTCCTTCAGGCAAGAGAGGACCAACATGGTAATCACAGTCTTAATAATTCCTATTAACTTAGTCTTTTATTTGTTAAGCTTCCTCAAGTGCGACATGTTGCAGCCTTTGGTGTAAGTCCAGTGGGTTCAGTTGTGCAAGGCCAGATCAGTCGGTCACAAAATGAACAACGGAGTGCCGAAGTTCTCGGCAAATGGCAAGGAAACGGCACAAGAGAATGTGAGAGAGGCTTAAAGTTTGTGTGCCCTCTAAAAAGGCCAGTGTAAGTCCTCGAAGTCCCCCGATTGACCCATGTTTACATCCGTCTCCAGCAAGCTCATGATGACCGCCATGGCTGCCTCATCGCTGCTGAAGCTGCTCAGCCCTGGCACCACCATGCTGTCCAAGTCCAGCTGGGACGGCTCACCTGGATGAAAACAAAGCGAAGAAAACAAGACTTGACGTAATGGAATATGATCTATCTGCACTGATCAGTGTTTTCTATTATCTGGTGATAAACTGTTTTAGATTAACACATTTTTCCTCATGCTCCATTGTTCACTTATACTTCCACTGCTACAACAAACATCCAACTGCAGACCCCAGATCTGTGAGATGTGAGCAGATCATTTTCTTTTCTGCCACAAAATTATAAAAGCAAATTCACTATTATGTTAACGCTTTTTCACACCTAGATAGAAGGTATCAGGACTGTAACTTATGTGAGAAAAATATGTTAAAAGTGAAATAAAATCCAATCTATAGGAGGGCTACACATAAAAATACATTGATAGCTTTTTAACATTATGGAGTAAAATAATTATTATAGAAAAAATATAGAGTAAAGAGTGTTTTCAGAGCATCTTCTGACATTTTTGTGTTTCTTTGGTGTTTGCAGTACATTTACACTGATCAGCCACTCAAATCCTCACACTGCCCATTT